GATAGCTTAAAAAATATAACAGATGATTTCATAAGGAAGAAAGAAGAAATATACAACAATTGCACAAACAAAATAAAAGTAAGATCTAAATATTGTTTTTCTTTTGTGACCCATTAACTGGCTATGAAGGTAATTCCGAAATATGTCTACAAGGGTATCTAATTGAAAAACAATATCCATGGATGTGTAAATTTGATTTGAAGACAATCGAGATGACCTTATTTTATGTACATAATTTTCTACGCTCGGGGCTGGGGATTTAGCGCAGCGGCAAAGCGCCTGCATGGCAAGCACAAGGTCATGAGTTTGATTCCTGGTACCGGAAGAAAAACAAAATTAAAAAAAAAAAAAAACATAATTTTCTATGCTCAAAACAAGGAAAGTTAAAAAACAAAAAGAAAATGTTTTTGTTTTTCTAGTTCTTGACCCATCCTACAGCATGTCAAATTTTAAATCAATGGGGGTTTGTCTGTTTTGCTCTACTGGGGATCCAACCCAGGACTTGGGCATGCTAGGCAGTCACTCTAGCATTGAGCTACTACTTCTCTAGCCCTCAAAGTGGCTTTTTGAAAATTAGTAAAATATATGACATGTCTTCTTTGACGTGACAATTAGACTGGATAAATTCTGATGTAATTATTTAAGAATCATGAAACGATTTTTTTTTTTAAAGACGGGGACTCACTATATAGTTTACTATGTAGTCCAGGCTGGCCTCAAACTCGCAGCGATCCTCATGTCTTTGCCTCCCTAGTGATGGGATTACAGGTGTGCGCCACCACGCCCAGCGAAATGATACTTTTAATGTTACGCAATCGTATATTTTCTTTAGTGTGATATTCTGCTTCCAGCCCTTTACCCCACTGATGTCACATCTTAGGCAGATCTGAGTCTCAGCGTGTGAAATATACCTTTTAAATAGCCGTCTGACTCCAGTACTGCTCCACCCGCATGGCGAACTTTTTAGAGCTTTCAATGATAACAAGCAGCCCGCTCCGGCACGCGTGCGATAGGTTCGCAACCAACGCTAGCCGGTCCCAGCCTGCACCCGCCGCCTTCCCGCGGGTTTGGTAACCTAGCAACAGGCAAGGGTCTGTGCAACCCGGCTTGTCCAATCAGCTCAGCGGATTCGCCGCAGAGGCTGATGGGGCACTGGAGACCGTGAGATCTCGGGCCTCAGCACCATGGAAACGCTTGGTGGGGCTAGGGTGGCAATGGCCGCTCGGTCTGCCTTAACCGCTAAGACTCTGACTTCTTTCCTTATCTTGGTCGTCCCTCGCGCCGCACAGGCTCTCACCTTCTCCTTACCTTTCCGGCAGCCGGAGACATGCAGCCACAACCAGTACTTCGATATCTCGGCGCTGTCCTGTGTCTCGTGTGGAGCCAACCAGAAGCAGGATGCTGGAGGTGAGACGGGTGCAGGGTGGACGTGGCCGACTTGACACTCCCACCTCGGAGCTAACCCCTTCCGCGACCTTTTGCTTTGTAGACGGATGGTTCAGAAACCTTCAGGTTTGCACACTAAAGTGGTCGGGGAACCCGGAGACGTTTACCCTCCTTGCCCACGCCGGCATTTAGCGTTAGTACCCCAACCGTGATATATGGGGGGAAGACTGTAGGGGCGGCACCGGGAAAGCTGCCCATCAGAGGTAGAAAACAAATAGTAGAGAAATAATCTGAGGTAAAGAGGTGCAGACAACAGGAAAGACTAGGAAGGAAATGCGAATTAACGCTTGTAAACATTGATAGCCCTTTATCTTGCTTTTCCACATTCCAGAAATTTAGAAGTGGAACAGACCTTGATTAAGCATAATCAGAGTCAATCCTTTCATCGTACGTATAATAAAATTGAATCCTAGAAGAGGTTGTGAAGTGTGTCACCTAAATTGGGACTGTGAGATCGCGTGTCTCCCTCCCCACTTAATTTTCTCCCTAAAATGTGCACTAAACTGATCAGAGGAAGTTTTTTTCCATATAATAAAGTGTTTTCGGTCGCGATTTAATCATGCAAGCACACTGCAGCCGGCTTTCAATCACTGAAAGCTCTACAAGGTTCACCATCAGTGATACAGTATTAACTTTATGCCACCTTCAACCTGAGACACGCACGTCTAAGTCACTGACCAAGTCAGATCAGCTTTTTTGGGTAAAGACCTATGAGTGAGAAAGCATTTCAAGCTCTAAAATGTAAGGTATTAGTATAATTATGAATCTGGATATTGTACTACACAGATTCCTATGCATGTACTGCACAGAGAATGCTGCCCTTGCTACGCAGCCAGTTCGCTAGGAATTATCTTGGAACATTTACTGGCTTTCCAAACAGAGGGGAACAGTGATTTGTTTTCTTTTCTAATAAAATTTTGGCAATTTTTAATTCAGTGAATGCTCATGTAGGATTTAACCACATAGAAATACAAAATTTCCTATAGCAGTTAATAGTTTCAAGAATTCAGTTTAATAGTTTAGTTATACTTGAAATTAAAGTAATAGCAATGTAATACAAGCTGTGTGCCAGACTTAGGGAGACTTTTACACATAATAACTAATTCAAAACTCACACTGGCCCTATGAGGTAGGTATTGTTTATTATCTTCTATTTCAATGAAGAAGCACCGAGACACAGGATTCAATAACTAGCTCAGTGTCACTCAGCTCATAGGAGAGCTAATACTGGAACCTAAGCAGTACGTTTCTGGATTTGAACCCAGACAGTACTAGTTCCAGCATCTTACTATTAACCACGGTACAATACTGCTTCTCAGAGTCTTAAGACTCACCGTCCTGAAGTTCTGTTTCTACCTACCAGGGACAAAATTCTCTCCTTTCTTTTTAGGCACCTCATGTGTATGTTTACCCGGATTTCAGATGATTTCTAATACTGGAGGACCTGCCATTACTTGTAAAAAGTGTCCAGAAAACATGGTATGGAAACATTGAGTGACAAAGTTAATTATGAAAGTAAAAATCCATTTGAATGTAAGAGCAAAGAATTGTTACGGAGTTTATTGTCTATTACCAACCAGTACATAGTAGTAAGCTTACAGTTTAACTTTGTAGTATAGAGTATGAACTGGTGATCCAAGGAATTTTTCTGTGGTTCATATATGTATGCTTTACTTGAATATATATTGTAAATCACATGCTGTTATGGCTGCTTGAATTTATATAATCTTTTCAGAAAAAATATTAATTGAAAAGGAGAAAAAAATGTTTTTCATATAGAAAGGTGTGACGGAAGATGGCTGGAGCTGCATCTCTTGCCCTCAGGGCTTAACTGCAGAAGGAAAATGCCACTGTCCCGCTGGCCACATTTTAGGTAAGAATTGCTTGGCGGTGAATTTGTGTGTGGGTCTTCTAAAGAGCATTAATTTAAGGTTGGCATGACTGAGCACACCTGTCATCCCAGCACTTGGGAGGCTGATGAACGAAGATCATGAGTTTTGAAGCCAGTGTGGGCTACAGGGTAAGACCCTGTCTCAAAAAAACCAATGAACCAACCAACAAAAAACAGTATTCATTTAAACAGCTTAGTGATTACTTAATAGTATTTTAATAATTATCTTTTTGCAAAATTTAGTGATGCTTAAGACATCAGCAGGCATCGAGCAGAAAATATGTCCTGTATAGTTTTAAAGAAATTCTTATTAGAATAGGATTGAATGGATTCTTCCTTAGCATAATATGATAAAATATGTATGTCTCAACTCGAAAGCCAACATAATGCTTAACAGGGAAAATTTATAAGCATTCCTGTTAATTTCAAGGCTGAAAGGGTGAAAATTATTGCACTTAAGAAAGAAGGAAAAGAAATCATTGAAAAGGAAAAGGTTAAAAAAAAAAGCATCACTGTTTGCAGATGAATTGTTTAGAAAACCTAAAGGAGCTGGGCATGGTGGCACACACCTGTAATTCCAGCACTTTGGGAGACTGAAGCAGGAAGACTGCAGGTTTAAGTTCAGCTGGGGCAACTTAGTTACTTAGTAAGACCCTGTCTAAAAATTAAAAGGACTGGTGGTGTTGCTGAGTGCAAAGGCCCAGGATTCAATCCCCGTGCCTTAAAAAAATGAAAGAAGGTAGGAAAAGAGGAGGGAGGCAAGGAAGGAAGGCAGGCAGGCAAATTTTTTGTTTTTGTTTTTGGTACTGGACTTAAACTCAGGACCTTGTGCTTGCCAGGCAGGCACTGTGCCTCTGAGCTATATTCTCAGTCCTTTTTTAGATTTTTTTTAATACCAGGACTCAAACTCAGGACCTTTTTTGTTTTGTTTTTTTGAGACAAGGTCTAACTTTGTAGTCTAGGCTGGCCTTGAACTCCAGGCAGTCCTCCTGCCTCAGCCTCCCGAGTGCTGATATTACAAGCATGCACTGCCATGCCCAGCTGGAAGGCAATTTGAAGTTTATTACATTTCAAGATGTGTTATATCTACCAAACTTTTAGTATTAAAAGATGCTTAGGATTAAGGGAAGATAAAAGTAAATCAGGTTTAATTATGGATTCAGAATAAAAGCTCCTAAGGACAAATATGCTGGCATTTATTTAAGTGCTATCCAATAAAAATATAAGGCCAACCAAATGTGTAATTTTTAATATTCTTATCTACACATTAAAAAGGTAAAAAGAGCTAGGTGTGCTGGCTCATGCCTCTAATTCCAGAACTTGGGAGGCTGAGGCAGGAGAATTGCCACAAGTTTGAGGCCAGCCTGGGTGACATAGTGAGTTCAAGGCCACCCTGAACTACATAGAGAGACCTTGTTTCAAACTGCCTTCCCCCGAAGGTAAAAAGAAATGATGAAATAAATTTTAACAATGTATTTCATTTAAATCAATATTATTAAAATATTATTCAAAACTAATCAAAATAAATAATTATTAATGAGATATTTCATTCTTTTGTTCTTACTAAGTCTGAAATTTCAATTCTGATCAGCCACATTTCTAGTACTCCATGACCACAAGTGACCACATTGGAAGCACAGATTTATACCAAGATGAAGTCCGCTATACTTGGTATCAGCTATACACATAAGCCAATTAGTCACTGAGAGAATAAAAGCCCCTGAGAAATCTTATGTAGCAAACCACTCATCATAGTCTATTACTCTAGCCACTAATCATAGTCTCTAACCACTCATCATAGTCTATTACTCAATTTTGTTGATCTTGTAATTCTTCTTGAAATTTTGTGGGTCAGAAACAGAAAAAAGAACATTCTGGGGATTTTATTTTTGTTTTGCTGCTTTCTCTGGCACCTTGTGTCCCTTTGAGATTAGATGACAGCTGTAAAAATGTATTATCAGTATTTAGAGGCCACTGTCACATGCTTGAAATTCTCCGTAGCGCAGAGCAAAGGAGGGGCAGTAGGGTGTGACTTTACATGGATAGTCATGGAAGGCCTCTCTGGAAAGTGACATCTGAGCAAAAACTTAAGGGAGTGAGGGACAGAGCCCTAAGATGACCGAGGAACATCATGATAAGCAGAAGTAATACCAGAGGCCAAGATCCTGTGATGGTAGCACATTTGGCATGTCCAAGGGAGAAGAAAGTGGAAGCAGATGGATCTGAAAAGGTCGGGGTGATGCTGATCATTTCTTTAAGGCTCTTCGTGATGGCCTTGGAAATGACACTATGTGAGACAGAAGGCCACGGGTAAGTATTAAGCAGAGAAGTGACCTGATCCTAATTAATTTTAAAAATCTTCCTCTGGCTTCTGTACGGAGTGTGGAACCAGCACTCCAGTTAGGAAGCTGTTACAGAAGCCCAGATCATAGAGTATGGTACTTGATCCATGGTATTCATTGTGAAATTAGAATAATTCAGCTTCTGAGTAAGTTTTAAAAGAGTGGACAGAATTTGCAGACTGACTTAATTCAAATTTTATTTATTTATTCATTCATTCATTCTGTACTAGGGATTAATCCCAGGGTTTTCATGTTGAGAACTATATCCTCAGCCCTCACTGTATTTTATTTTGGTGGGACTGAAACTTGTGATCCTCCTGCCTCAGCCTCCCATAGTGCTAAGATTACAGATGTGCACCACCATGCCCAGCCCAATTTTTATTTTTAATGCGAAGTATGAGACAAGGAGACTATCAGGCCTAGGGCCTGGTAAGTGTTCAATGGAGTTGCACTGACTGAGAGAGATGACTGTTTAAGGAACCAGTTCATCTTTACAGTTCTTTACTTTTATCAAAAATATTTTGTAGCCCCACACATAATGTATACATTATGTATACATCCCAAGTCCTTGACTGTGTTTCCTGATGCTGAGTCCCCATTGGTTCTTAACAACAAAGTAATTGTTTCTGTTTTAGCGGGTGTGTGTCCTTCTGAAATTTTTATTTCCTATTTTGTCATAAAGTTATGCACGGTAGCCGCAAGAAATACAATGATTATACAAGAAATATAAATTAGTATTTCATATTTCAGATAATATTCTGTTGCATACTTATTTCAGCTCACAATACACATACAAGGTCTACATCATTTTAATCTATCCTGTAGTATTTCATAGTATACATATATCACCATTTTGCTGTTCAGCTATTCATATTGTTTTCTAATGAATAATGTTTCAGTGAATATCCTTATACACATGTAAAGTTTTTCTGTTTTGTATCTAAAAATGAAATTGTGGTACTGTGTAAAGTATGTGAATTTAAAACTTTAATAGACATTATCAAGAGCCATCCAAGTTATAGAAACTTAGCGGCAATCTATGCAAATTCTTTCTTCCCCATTCCAGTTTGACAGGAAAAAGGTAAGAAAGTTTTTGAGGAAAAAATGTTATCGATTCATTATTAATGATGACTCTGAAAGTTAGTTTCTGTATATTTTCATTGGAAATGAAGAAGGCTTCACTTTTCTATACTTAGAGATGCTTGAGTATGCAAGTAATGTGTTTTGAGAATTATTACAACAATAATTACAAGTGAGTTTTATTAGGTATTTTCTAAGTATATGCAGCTTATGTGTTCACTTGAATTATACCTTATTGTGCTTCTGAATCATTTAGTGGAAAGAGGCATTAATGGATCGTTGTTATCTCAAGCAACTTGTGAGCTTTGTGATGGAAGTGAAAACTCTTTTACAACGGCCAACGCTTTAGGAAATGTGTAAGTACTGTTGCTAGGGGCTGACTTTATTAATATTGTCCTACACTGATCATCTTATATCATCTTGCTTTTAATGAATGTCCATAGAAATCCATCAGAGTTACCACAGGTCCAGTGTCCTCTCTCCCTCTATCTCATTCCTTAAAGGAAGATATGAAGTGTTTTCTTAAAATGAATAGCGGTGATGAACAGTGCTGGTGGTAGGTTTGGTGACGAGGTAGGTGCACTCATCTTTTCAGCTCCTGCTGACTTTCTGTTTGTAACAGAGAAGAAAAGTGTATTTGCTATAACTACTTAAAATTGACTTACTTCCATTTATATCGAGTTTGTTGGGGTCTTTTGTTAGTTGAATGACTTTACCAACTTTGCTATTTAGCGTGTTTATTTATTGTATTTCTGAATATAGTCTTCTATTATTGGTTAATTTTGTTTATAGGTTACCTTGTAACACAAAGAGTGATATAAAACTATTTAAATCAGTGTAATGTTTGCTCAAATAATTGCCTAGCTGAATGAATCTGTTCTAATCCAGTATGTAGGAAAACAAGTTCTTAATTAAATTTGTTTAATGTAACTCACTAATGTGTTGCAAATTATTTTTGTTATATTGAACAGATGTGTCCGATGTGAACCAACATTCATTAATGCCACTAGGTCCTGCGAATGCTCAGAACCTCACATTCTAGTAAGGATAATGAAATTGATAAAGTATATCTTTTTAATTCAGTTGCTTGTACCTTTCCATAAACAAGGTGTTTTCCCCTTATGTATTTATGAAGACAGGGGGATTATGTTTCAGCGGCTCAGGGAGTTTCCCTCCACATGTAATTTCAGCCGCACGCCAGGGAGAGCCTGTAAGTATGTTTCACATTTTTGTTTGATTCTGAAGGATCTTTCTACAGTCTTTTCTTTGGTAATTACTTTCAAACTACAACGAGAAACAGTTATGTGCAAATCACTTTAAAACAAGTTATTAATGTAAGAAACATTACTGTAACAATTCAGCACTGTAATTTATTAGTACTCTCTTCTGCACCTTTCATTCCTTTCTCAATGAGTTACAGAGTGTAATATCCTATACGGGTCTTATAAAATATGTAGTTTAATACAGTCAAGAGCATCATATACCATAAATCGGAACCTTAGATTTTCCAATCATTAGTTTTGTATCTTTGGACTTTGGGAAAGTTGCTTGGCACTTCTAAATTTAGGTTTATTGTCTATAAATGAGGCATAGTAATAGCTATGTTGCAGTGTGAACACATGGAAAGCACTGGAGAAATTTGGATTACTCATACCCAGCCAGCTTGTTCCACAGATGAGAACACTGAGAACTAGGACGAGAGCCTTTGCAGTAGACACTGGGTCATAGCAAGGTTTGGGGGTAAAGTGGGAAGCAGACGAGTCGGAACTGCGGGAGTCACAGGCCCGGGAGAATAAGGGTCACATGACTAATGAACACTGAAGAAATCCAGGGTGCCACACAACTTGGGCAGACAGACTGTGATCTGGTGGTTCATCATCTTCATCAAGTAAGAAGGAACGATTGGGAGGGATGTGAGGGACAGCAACAGTGAGGGCGGAATTTGCGATCTTTAAAAAAAATTTTATCTTTACTAGTACAAGTTTGCAGTAGGTGATGATTATATTCATCATGGGGAGCTGGTACCCATATAGAACACATCTGGATTCCTTTCACATCACCTTCCCTTCTGTCCCTCCCACAAGAATCTGGAATCTTGATTCAATAGAGCAAAATTACTCTCCTCTAGTATAGTTTATGGGGCTCTTTTAGAGAAGGGACTTGAACATTTGGGGATTTTGGTACCTATGAGGGTCCTAGAACCAATGGCTTCAAATACAAGAAAAACCTGTAAACGCATATATACACATGCAAACATTTTTTTTCCTGAGCCATTTAAAAATGAGTTATAGACGTGGAGATAGTTTACTCCAATTGCTTCACCAGATTTCCTAGCAATAAGGGCATTTTCCTAACATCACATCCAAGAAATTTACAATAATACAGTAGAAGTATCTAATACCTGTTAGACGTCTCCGGTTTTTCCAATAGTGTCCTTTATTCCTTTCCTCTGTTTTGGAGGAGAGGGTCCAGGATCCAGCAAGGATCCCACATTGCAACTAGTCTTTTAGTTCCCTTTGATCTACAATAGACGCCTGCTTCATTTTACTTCTTTCACTAACATTAAGTGTTAGTATTCATTTTCGCTTAACTGTGTCCATGTTCATATCTTTCTGACAGTATAAGTTAGAGGACTCTTCACTTGAGTTTTATCTTTTCATTCACAGGGCATGTCTTTCACTTCCGAATGGTTTGCAAAGTATTTGCAGTCAGCAGCAGCTGCATGTTGGGTAAGTTTGAATTTAAAAAAAAAGTTTTACATCACTTTGAAGAATTGTGGTGCCATCCTTTACCCAGATGAAATTGGCTTTCTAAGTATACATATTTCCTTGGTCATATTCTCTAAAAAGAATAGACCTTTCCAATGGAGCAACAGAGAATAAATACAGAAAATATTATTCAATATAAACAGATTAAACGTCTGTACGTTTATTCAGCTACATTTGAGTGGAAACTGACTAGTCATTTAGTGAGTTTTTTTGAAGGCTAATTCTGTACCAGGCCTTGTTCTTAATCAGCATAGATAATTGGAGGAAAAGGAAAACATTCCTTGTAGAGTTGTAAGTAAATATCAGTTTGTACTAAATGCTATGAAGACAGTAAGTCACGGTGAAGAGCAGAGAAAGTGGTGTGGGGATGCACTTTATATACAGTGGTCAGGACAGGCATCTCTGAGAGGATTATATTTGAGCAAAAACTTGAAAGAAGTGCAAGTGAGCCAAGTAAGTGTCTAGAGGGAGAGTATTCTAAGAAGAGACCGGTAGTAGCAAAGGTCACAAAGCAGGAGTTAGTGGCATGTCCATGCTTCAGAAACAGGAAGGAGGCTGGAGTGGCTGAGGCAGCCTGAGCAAAGAAGAGGTGGGAAGAGGAGGTCAGCAGTGCAGGGAAAGGCTCTGGCGAGGACCTGGAGTCTGGCCTAGGGGAAGCAGGAAGACTGTCCATAAACGAAGACATGATCTAACCTTAGGCTTTTAATAAACAAGTCTTCTCGCATGAGAATAGATTTTGTTAGGGTGAGAACAGCAGCAGGGAGACTCGCAGGGTCGTATTACGGTAATCTGAGAGACCAGAACTGCGGGCAAGGGTGTACCTTGGAAATGAGAGACGCATTCTGCTGCTGGCTGGCTGAACGCTGAGCCAGCAGCACTTAATAATGAGGTGGAAGCGGGCGCCACAGAACTAAGTTCACTGTAAAGTTTTTGATCTGAGTGACTAAAACTGGAGTTGCATTTTCCTCATAGAGAAAATTGAGAAAATTGAGAGGTGAACTCAACAAAAGATCTTACTCGTTGTTCATAAAATAAATTACTTAAAGCAAAATAGATTAGATTTATATGTCAGATCTAATATATACATTATTTTCAACTATAAATATTCTAATAGTTTTATTTTAAAATACCATGTTATAAATTTGTACTTAGCTTTTTCAGTTGCTTGTCTTTATAGTTTAGCCTCAAATTTATAATAAAAATGTACTTATTCTTCTTATATGGAAAGTTTCTGCTCCATGTAAGCTAGAGGAAAGGTATTAAAAAGCAAAAGGATAAAAACAGCAGCATTAGTAGGATCGACAAAATAAAGCATAGTTTTTATATTGACTTTCGTGTAAGCTATTAATGTGGTGTCTTTCTTTGCCATCGTTTCTTAGATGTATGCCAACCTAACAGCTTGCCAAGCTCTTGGTAATATGTGTGTGATGAACATGAATTCTTATGACTCTGCCCTTGTTGATGCGTGTCGACTGTTTCAGTTTATCTTTGAAAATACTGCTGGGCTGAGCACCGTGCATTCCATTTCATTTTGGTAAGGATATTTTGATCAATGAAATATCATTTTGAGCAAATTCAATGCAGTTATTTTCACAAATACTAAGAAATATTTCTTTCCTTTTATTAAAACAATCAAACAATTGTTTGTAGGAGACAGAATCTTCCATGGCTGTTTTATGGAGACCAGTCAGGACTGGCACCTCAAATACTCAGTAGTACACCTCTTCCTACAAATTTCAGTTTTAAAGGACAAAACCAGGTACAAGGCACTCTGTCATTAGAGGGTAACTATGTCTTGATTTGCAGCTTCAAAAAGTAGTAAGAAAGTTATGTGGCACATTTTTATTCTTTAAGACCATTTTTAAGAATTTAATTGCGAGCCGGGTGTGGTGGTACACACCTGTAATCCTAGCACTCGGGAGGCTGAGGCAGGAGGATCGTTGTGAGTTCAAGACCAGCCTGGGCTACAAAGTGAGCTCAAGGCCAGCCTGAACTGCATAGCAAGTCCCTGTCTCAAAAAGACAAAAAGAAAAAAAAAATTAATTACTAAACAAATATAAATATTAGCTGCTTGTTGGAAACAGATGAGATGATCAGTGCTGTCTTGTATGAGTATTTGGATGCTTCTAGGTTATATGGTTATAGCAGCAGGTAGTACCTGTGGAATTGAGAAGAGTATTTTCCATTGCCAAATGCAGGTAACTTCTGTCCTTGTATATCTCCAGAGTTTTAAGAAGGTTTTGAGAAGATTGATTGAGGTTCTGTGACTTTCCCTAGCACTTCACAGGTCCTAATTCTCATCCCTGACTTTTTAACTTCCTACAGTGAAGAAATAATCCCTACTCCCCCCTCACCCCCTATTCAACAGACTTGAAAGGAGGTTATCTGTCACTAGTCTGCCTCTCACTTCCGAAGTAGTAACTTCTATGCAAGAAAACAGTCCAGGTGGTTTAGGTGTACTTAATCACAGAGATAGATTAAATTAGATTCAAAATGGAGTTCAATTTAATATTTCAACCAAAGTCAGTCAATAATGAGAAAGAATTAATCAAAACTGAAAATTTCATATAGAAATATAAAAATATTCTGTCAGAATATTTGACATTGTTGTTGTTTTTCTTTAATCAGAATATGAAACTGACGTTTGTTGCTGCTTCCTATGATATAAGAGGAAATTTTCTTAAGTGGCAGACTTTAGAAGGAGGTGTTCTACAGGTAAGTGGGATTCTAACTAAAGAATTGCCAATGTTCCTCATTTTTGCCTGTGCCATAGACAAACAAAAGGCTGGATTGTAGCTTGGAAAATATCAGTTACACACCGTAGATTTCTTTCTGATGCTTTAAATTAGGATTTCTTAAAAGTGTTTTTTTATTAAGTTACGGCTTTAACTCCCTTAACTTTTCATGCCCTTAAACTCTTACAGCATATATCCATGTGGGATCTAGGGAACTTTGACTCTTTAAGTAAAGGAAGTATTTGTGAGAGAGATTTATCGGCTGAATCTTTTTTGTCGTAGCTTTGTCCAGACACAGAAGCAAGACTAAATGCTGCTTATTCTTTTGGAACAACCTATCAACAGAATGTAAGTTTGAACTATATTACACAGGCTATATTTTAGCTTTGTCTTTGAAAATACCACATCAGCAATAATTGGAATCATATGTGAATTTTTGAAATTAGAATTCTTTTTAATAATAATGAATTATTTCCTTAATTTTTATTATTTAGGTACAAAAACTGTTAGTAGAATTAGCATGAAGAACCTACCTTGTCACTATAGAATCTTTTTTTTTTTTTTTAAAGTGCTAGGGTTTGCCGGGGACATAGCTCAGCAGCATAAGCGCCTGCCTGGCAAGCGCAAGGTCCTGGGTTCAATTCCCAGTACAAAAAGAAAAATAAATAAATAAATAAAGTGCTGGGGTTTAAACTCAGAGCCCTTACACATGCTAGCCACGTGCTTTACCATTGATCTATATAACCCCACACCCTAGAATCTTAAATATCTTGTAATGGTAGATCATATTCAATTGTTTTTCCACTTACAAGCTTAGAGATCTTAAAAAATAATACAACTTTGGAGCATTTGAGGATAAAATTAAAAATACTACTTTATTTTGAGTGACTAATGAATATGTACTTCCTCTTCACTCTATCCACCAATAACAAATAAAAACATACGCTTTTCTGTATTTTCCCTCCTTTGCCCATATCTTTCTTCTGCTGTCACCTTTTGTTTCTTTTAGTGTTTTGGGTTTTTTTGGTTTTTTTGTTTTAGTTTTTTTCTGGTACCAGGAATTGAACTCATGACCTAGTGCTTGCCAGGCAGGCATTGTGCCGCTGAGCTAAATTCCCAGCCCGTGCTGTCACCTTTTGTTTTAAAATTACTGTATTGTACAGGTGAATATAGTGATCCATTAAACATTTGAAAAAGTGGTTTATAAAATTGCTTCTCACTAAAGTATATATATACATATACACAGAACAAAACCACATTGAAAAATACTATCATGGAATACAGGTTGGAAGAAATAACAGTGATTGTCTTTGGATGATTGAATTAGAGATGAGTTTTGTTTTCTTATATTTTCTAAATTCTCTACCATGAACAGAAATTTACTTTCATTTGTGAGAAATCATCTTTATGTTGTCTTGTTTTTACAAAAGAAATGTTTTTGTGTCTACGATGAGCTAATAGAGTCAATACTTAAGTATCTGGGGCTTTGTGCTTAGTATTTTATCTCATTTGATCCATGAAATATCTGTGCTTCACAGATGAAGAGGTGGTGTTCAGTAAGGTTAGATAACTTACTCAGTCTTGCATCGGGTAAACTCTAGAGCCCATATTTGGTTAGATTTAAACCCGTGATGTTCCACTGAATCTGACCATTACTTGTGTAGTTCACAGCCCAGCAGACAAAACAGCCAAACAGAGGATTTCAAAAGAAGATGATAAATATTGTACTATAGACATGTAAAATTACATACCAGTTCCCAGGGTAGTGCAAAAAGGTTTCACAGATGGAGTGCTATTTGGGCATATATAATGAATATGAGTTGGATGGAAGAACACAGTTGGGAATGAAATACCAGGCAGAACCCACGTTGATAACATCAAAGAGAGAATGGCACGGCACAGTTAGGAACTGCAGTGGGTCAGTATGCGTGGACAACTGTAGAATGGTAGGGAGCAAGAGAAGATAAGCTGAGCTCTACTCGGGTGAGCCAAATTCTACATCAACAGAAAGAATTGAGACTTCATCCCACAGACCAAGAGTAGTATTCATGTCTTTCAATCATGTATACTTAATATCAAAAATGAAGGCATATCTTCTCCTTGTGTGTTATAGGTCAAGAACAAAACAGTACTATTTGTTTTGGCAGTTATAAAAGAATCGTATTTATAAATACATATTTTGAAGTTATATAGAAATACATATAAGATAGTTTATTTTGCAAAACTAAAAAGTATTAGAGAAAACAATATGTTTTCTGATTTTCAGTTGTAATCCTTTTATTTTTAATTTTATTTTCCAGTGTGAGATTTCTCTTTCCAAGATCCTAACTGACTTTCCCACTCCCATATTTTATGATGTTTACCTTGAATATACTGATGCAAATCAACAACAAAATATTTGGGCTGTACCTGTGTTAAACTTAAATCTTCAACACTACAAAATGTTTGTGAATCAAGGTAAGGTATCCATACCTGTCATTCTTTCTCTGGGCTGAAGTCAAGCAATATGATCATTTAACAGACCACTTATTATAAGAAAGGCCATGAATTCTCCTTAATTAGCTTTATATACCATATCACCTGAGATTGCTGATTTCATTGTCAGGCCTGTTGTTAAGAAATTATGCTGTTACTCCATGCTGGGCATAGTGGCACATGCCTATAATCCCAGCACTCCAGTAGGCTGAGGCAGGAGGATTACCATTAGTTTGAGGCCAGCCTGAGCTACATAGAGAGTTCAAGGCCTGCCTGAACTAGATTGTGAGACCCTATCTCTAAACTACCAACCCCCCAAAAAAAAACAAACGCCAAAACACACACATACACTCACACACAAAAGAGAAAGAAATTATGCTGTTGCTAAGAGTGTATCCTGAGATAGCTGGTGATGTAGCCCAGTGGTAGAGTACTTGCCTGGCATGCACAGGGTCCTAGCTCAATCTCCAGAACTGAAAAAAAAAGAAATATATGCTGGGAAAATTAGTAGGACTATCAATTATGGCTTTTGTTCAAGTTGTCTTTGATTTACATTATGGACAAATTAATTTTGTTTTTTCCCCAGGCTATATAAAAATCTGACTTTTTCAGGTAATTTGCATTCAAATTAATGAAAAGTTCAAACAAGCAAAAGCCATTCAGTGAGGTAGAAAAGGGACATTATCTCGAAATTCCTTAGAGCATTTGTTCTTTGAAGCCATCAAAATATTAATGTTGCATTTTAAATTGTTCAGCACACCTCTTGAAAGCCATCTTGAATAATTTGAGGATTTTTTTAAATTCTATTTTTTTCTTCTTTTTATAACAAAAGACAGTAGCTCCGCCAAGTGGCTTCTGACTCGGCGCATTTTCTTAGTGGATGCAGTAAGCGGACGAGAAAATGACTTAGGAAACCAGCCGAAAGTAATTCGAATTGCTACCCAAATATCACTGAGGTAAACAAATATCTAATTAGACGGCTAAATTAGGTTGGAGTGTTCAGAAAATGTTATAATGAAAGTGTTTATATAACAGAGAAAAATAGTAAGGACAACTGAATTAGAATAATGTGTGCATCTGTGTAGATTGGCCTAGACCAATAAAGGTGAAAAGACAATGGGGAGTCAGTTACACGAGAAGGGCCTGAGGAGCCTGGTCAGAATTCAAATTCTAGACTGTACTCTTACACAGGCTGAATCTTACACAGGTTGAAAGAGCACGGCAAGGCACGTGCCAGTGAGCGGAAGTGGGTATTTTAAGAAGAGCCTGCTAGTAGATTGTTAGTAGTTCAGCCTCTTCCATTCTCATTTCCTTTCATGGCTATTTTGGGTAGACCCGGATTTTAGGTTGACCTGGGATACCCTATGACCTGACTTAAAGGAGTACCATTCAGCCCCTATTTCTCAGTTTTTTCCAGCATGAGATTTCTGTCTCCAAGATTTTTAATTGATTTCTACTCTAATACTTCATAATGTGTATTTCAGATATACTGATAAAAATCAGTAGCTTCATGTTATATTAATTTGGCACTTTGAAGCATTTTCATGTATACCATTATTTTGCTATTATTTCATTTTGATTTTCATAATATTCCTATGAGGTAGGCAGCACAGAAGCTTTGTCGTATAACCTCCTGAAATCGAAGTATTGTGTTTTTAGCATTCCCTCAATCTGCTACTGCAGTGTCCTTAATGAAAATGATACTAAGCCTAGTAAGCCTTCACTTGTTCTTGATGGAACCCTGCTAGCACTTTTCCTTTTTGAATTGAGAGTGTCCAGCACTCACGCATTGTACTTGGCAAAGTGTACCCTACTTTATGCATTAAACAGGGTTAGGTGTGACACATACTTTATTTAGAAGTAATTTTCTCTTTTGAAGGTTAGAATATCGTCTGCCTTTCTTCAGGCATCATGTAGCTCTGCTCTTTGAATATTCCTTAAGGATAGCTCACAGTGATTCAGCAATTTCATTTATAAACTTTGTAGCACCTGGGTCAAAATAGCTTCGTATTTGTCTCAGAGAGTATACTTTAACATTCAAGTTTGGACCATTTAAGATTAGCTCGAGTTACCATTAGTCTTTGTTTAACCTTCCGTAAAAGCTGTTAACTGGTCAGAACCAACCAGTTATAGAAGTCATCATGACAATCTATGTTACATTGAAAAAACTGATAAATACAGGCTTAAGGGCCTAGATATATTTGTAACTATAGACATATTTTCATTTAAATAGCATCCACCTCGTACCTGACACAAAAAGTGGGAACATATACCCTCCCTTAATCACAATTGCCTACAGTGATATTGATGTCAAAGATCCCTATAGCCAGTCTGTAAAGGTGAGTTCTGTATTAATCAGTGATCTTGTAAGTATAAATAAAGTATTGATGTAGTTTACATAATATTTTTAAAAATCCCATTTTCAAGTTTCAAACAAACCCTTCTCTTTAATATAGTTAAGTCATAACTACTTTTAACTAATGGTAAGAGGTAAGTTCTTACAGATCTTGAGTATGGAAAGGAAAGAATGGGTGAAGTGTTTGAGTAGCAGAGTCACCAGAGGTTGAACATCCCTGTTAGGGATCTCAGCTATGCTGGGATCTACACTGTTTGCTCCAGCTCTTTTTGACCACTTTGCTTCCAGTCTTCTTGTCTAATTAAGCCAGGAACTCAGAATTTACAGGGGGCATAGATGCTTGCCAATTTATAGCTCACTGGGTAGAGGTGTAGTTCAACAGGCAAAAACGATTTGTATTACTAGCTTTTGTGGTGGATTAACTAATGGTCAAATTGGAACACCTAGCTGAACTGAGTCAGCATATTTTTGGATTTGGAAGACCTACCTGAGAATTGTTGCCAACAACATAAAAAGAGACCTGGAGGGGAGGATAGCACATTGTTATTGGAGAAGATTGTTCTGCTGGTTTTCCTGATATGAACTCAGCTCTTCTCATCATCAGAGGAGCTCAGGTCCTTGCTGTTGCTGAGGTTAGCTGCTATTCTCTTTATTGGAGCTCTGGTCCTTACTTTGTGTCTTAGTCATTTTTTTCATTGCTGATACAAAATACCTGACACCCAAAGTTGAAGGTGGAAAGATTTATTTAGCTCACGGTTTGTAGAGGTTTCAGTCCACCATCGGTTGGTTCCAAGGCAGGGTGGCACATGGCAGAGGGGCAGTCATTCATGGTGGCAGAAGACAGCAAAAGCAACACGGAAGTGAGAAGACTCTTTTACATAGGCTACCTGCCCTGGGCAGGTGTAACATACCCTTAATCCCAGCACTGGAATATGAATGAATCATAAACTGTAGGTTCACCCACCTCTGAAAAGCCTCCCTGCTCCCCAACTGCATGAGGCTTTGGGGAGCATCAAGACATAAACCATAACACCTGGAGGGTCGCTTCCTGCCTCCAGGGCAGCTCCCTTAGTCTGGTGGCGCAGATCCTTTACCTCGCTGGCACAGACCTAGCTTCTTCACCACCGGCTATTGGGCCTTCCCAGTGCAGATCCTTGATACAGACCTGCATGGGACATTTTTGTGAGCTCTAGGTCTCCAGCTGGATTCACGGAGGACAGTGCCATGGGCTCTAGGCCTTCAGCTGTACTCACGCAGGACATTGTTGTGGGATCCAGGCCCTCAGCTGGATTCTGTGGGTCTCTAGTGCATGGACAGATCTCTTGCACTCTTGTGCATTTGACTTTTTGGGTAACTATTATAAAATAATCCTATGAAGTATGTGTCCTTTATTAAACCTATTCCCTTGCAAACCCTGACTACAACAAAATTATAACTAGTAGTGCTAAAGTGAGCTAGAGAATGTAGTTTGGACCTGTAGCCTCAGTTTACCCCAGAACTGAAGACCTTGCACACCTAGGAGGGTCTGTGTGTGGAAGAGAGACTTCGTGTATCCTGAAGGCTGGGCACGCTGAGAGGAAGGGGCCTGGCAAAGGCTGTGCACCCCTGCTGGCTCCCTCTTGCCATCTCAGCGGTCAGATGGTGCATCCCTGCTTTGAGGAGGGGAAAGCGAGAACAGTGACAGAGATAAAAATGAGAAGTAAGCCTTCTGGGCTTTTGTTTTCTCCTGGAAATTAACTGGCTATTTCCTTTCTTCTCTGGAAACATGAGAATGGGGAGAAACATCATCTATCTCCAGGACTCATACATAGCTTCTCATTTCTATTACTTACTTTTCTGAATGTCGATGTTTCAGTCCCTGTAGCCAGTGCTTTTGTCCTCTCTGCTGCGCATGTACTTGTGCTCAGCTGCTGTTGGATTCAGCTTTAATTAAGTAAGATTAGGCACACAATATAACTTTTCTCTTAAAAATTCCCTGTCTTCAGTTGTATCACCTGATACCTTGCTAAAATTAGTTTCTACTGACTAAGCTTATACCACAGACACTGTAACGAGAGACCAAAAACTCAGAAAAATGTGCTTAAGTAACAACAAGAGTACGTTGTTTTAAAACATCCTGTAGTAATTATTCATGGATAACCTGGAGTGTACTTTATTTTAATACTAAAGCACTTCTGAATCTTTCCTTTAAACATGACACTTGTCCAAAGTGTTCCAGAAAACCTAGTGACAGATTGGAGAATGAAAAATACAAAAGTTGAGAGAATCATGCAACTACCTTGGACAAAGTCTACTTTAAATTTATTCTATTGTTAAATGTATGTTTTTTATTGTCTTTAAATTGCCTATGGTAGCCAGGCATGGTGGCTCATGCCTGTAATCCCAGCACTCGGGAGGCTGAGGCAGGGGATCATTGCAAAGTTGAGACCAGCCTGGGCTACAAAGTGAGCTCAAGGCCAGCCTGAACTGCATAGCAAGACCCTGTCTCAAAAAGACAAAAAAAAAAAAAAAAATTGCCTGACAGCTATTGCAAACATTTGTATCAGTTTTAATCATCTAGATGTATCTCTGCTCTTATACACAGAAAATAAACGTGACTCTTGTTTTACTGAGCAGACTAAGACTATCTTTCCTCAGATTTTCTCTTGAATAGCTCAAGATCTCTGCATTTTGTTATCTTTCTCATTCACTATTCCCATTTCTAAGAGAAGGTCCTTCCTCCTATCCTACTTGTACTTACGAATTTACAGCACTCCGTCCAGTGTCCTGTTTCATCCCAGCACCTTGCTCAGCTACCCTCTCTGCTAGTTTTTTCTTTTTCTTATAAAACTCTCAGGTTGGATCACAAATTCAAGCTCAGCCTGAGCAAGTTAGCTTGCTCAGAATTTAAAAGTAATTAAAAAGGATTGGGATATACCTGACTGTGAAGGCCCTGGGTTCAAAAAACACACAAAACACTCCTTAAAATAAACTACAGCTACCAACCAAGCAGCCAACCAATCAAAATTCTTTTTTTGCAATTCTGCCAGCTCCTTAACTTGCCATTAGATTTCTTTCCTTCATTTCCCAACTACTCACCGTTTTACTTCTTTGAAAACCTCTCGTGAAAGTCAGCAATGGATTCTACATGTAGTGGCAGCATTTCTTCTTTAACTTGACATTTATGCAACGTTCGACACTGTGCTCTTGACTCCTTCTTTCCTCCCTCCTGAAAGTCCCGATTCTGTGACCATGGGGAGACTTAATTCAATAGTTGCCTCTCCTACCACTCATGGTCTTCTTTTCTTACTCGTCAATAGTTCTTCTTCCTCTTGTCCCTTAATGTAATTGCCATCCCTAAGACTCTTGTTCAGACTTTTAAGTAACCTGCCTTCTTAGGATAGGATTGCTAAATTCTTGGTATGCAAGTTTAGTCACACTTGTAAGTTATAGAAACCTATCAGAAAATGAAATGTCCTTATTTCAGTTTGAACTGCTATTAATGATTCTAACTTCTCTCCCAGTGAACCCTTCTTTCTTTCATGTGCATGTAAGATGGCACAAATAATTGTCAAAAGGCGTCTCTATTTATCTGTAAGACTCAACTCTAGTAATATAGTTAAAAATATAGCATTCATGGTAAAATCCAGCTGCAAATGCATTTCTATGATAAAAGTAGGGTTGTGTTATATAATTTTATTTTTTTTATTTTAGTAGTAAAAGAATGAAAACGTATTAAGAAACGGACAACCATTTACAAAGTAGCACAAGAATAGTACAAGCAATACTGAATTATAGACAAGGTGACAGGGAATTCACAATGGTTGTTGTATTACATATTGATAACTTCAAAGTGGTTTGTGTTATATAATTTTAATATAGCTAACTTGTTTTCTTTTAAATATCAGGTTTCTTTCTCAGTCAAATATGAAATGAATCAAGGAGAAGCATTTGTCCAGACAGATGTAAGTATATTTTAATCTTTTAAAATAGTCACTCCATGTATACAGGGTGGGCGGAGATATATTGTGTGTGTGTGTGTGTGTGTGTGTGTGTGTGTATGTTTTGTTTCATTTTGTTTTTCTTTTGTGATACTAGGGATTGAACTCAGGGCCCTTACATATGCTAGGTAAGCTCTCTACTGCACTGCATCCCCAATCCAACAGTATACTGTAATTTTTCTTTTTTTACTTTAAAAATTAAAAAAACTAACAAAACAACAATGAAGACAAAATCAAACAAACACAAAAACAACAAAAACGACACATGACCTCAAAACAAAATGATAGGAATTTTCAGTGGTTTCCACATTACATACTGTTATCTTCAACGAAGTTGCTCAGTGAAAAAGAAGGAAGAGGGAAAAAAATATGTCTGTGTATACACAAGATATGTAGGATAATTGTACTACTAATATCTGTTGGTTTATCGAAAGGAACTGTTAACGTGTAATTGTTTGATCCATCTTGCATGCCTATATCTGGTTATCTGTGCAACCATTTTGAAGATGACATTAGGTAATATAACAGCCATTGTTAATATCCTATCACCACGTTTTGAAATTCTGTATCATTTTTATTGTTCTCTATGCTGTTTTGTTTATGTATTTGTTTTTGTTATTTTGAGTTTTTTTAAATGAAAAACAAAATATATATGTATATATAGGATAGCTGGGATAGGTGTATTACTGATGTCTGTGGTTTACTGAAAAGAGCAGTCAGTGCTTAAAATTTTCTTTTTTCTTGACCAATACGGTAATTTTTAATTAAAAATTCTTTTCACATGTACAAGAAGTTCTCAAAATAGATTTGCCATGTACTCTTACCTTATGTTCCCTAATGTTAGCATCTTATATAACCACAGTACAGTGGTCATTCTCCTTTTTCTATCCCAGGACCCAGTCCAGATCCCAATATTGGTCTTTTATGACCATAACACTTTTTTTGTTTTGTTTTGTTTTGGTTTTTTTGGGATGTGATCTCGCTACATAGCTCTCACTATGTAGCCCAGATTGGCCTTGAACTCACAGCGATCTTCCTGCCTCAGCCTCCCAAGTGCTGGTATTACAACATGCCCTGCTCATAACACTTTCAAATACTACAGTACTTGTTAATTATTTTGGGCCTCAATTTGGATTTGCCTGATATTTTCCCGTGATTAAATGAAATTCCTGTAGTTTTGGCAGAGACACTGCAGAAGTGATGCTGTGGCCTTGTCAGGAAGCCGTAGGACCTCACTGTCACGTTGCTGACGTTGGTCATTTTGTTCACATGGCTACAGTGGTTTCTGCCAGACCCTCACCTCTGTGTTTTCATTTGGAATTAATAAGTATCTCAGGGGGATGCCTTGAAGCGATGCAGACATCTTGCTTCTCATCATTCTTTTACCCTTTAATTTTAGCATCCACTGATGACCCTTGCCTGCAGACAGTATCCGTATGGGATTTGCCTGCTCACATGTTCCTTCTCCCCTCATGCCTTCTGTATTTATGAATGGGAGCTTTGTTGTAAGAAGCTTTCCTCGGCCCACATTAATTTATTCAATGATGATGTCACACAACTCTTGGATGCTTTATTAGATGATTATAATCCATCCCTAGATTTTTTTTTTTTTTTTTGCCATATTTTGCTAAATTTGGCCATTGGAACTTCAGTTTGATTTCTGTGTGCTTGCAACATGCCCCCAATGTTTTTGGTGTACTACTTGCTTTGTATTTACAATGCATTTGAATATTGGTGAGAAGAATTGTATAAAGTATTCTTTTTCTTGTTTTTCAGATTGCTCTGGGTGTGTTGGGAGGGCTTGCTGTTTTATCATCTCTTTTGAAGACAGCAGGGTGGAAGAGGCGCATTGGGAGTCCCATGATTGATCTGCAGGTATAATATTAGAAATCTTTAACACATATTTTTATCTTTTGACTATTCTAGATCTTTCTTGTAAGACACAGCTAGAGGATGAGTAAGATAATTACCTTGAATTTTTCTGGGGTAGAACTAGGAGAGGTGTTGCTGGGTCATAGAGTAAATCCACACCTCATTTTCTTCCCACAGTGCGTGCTGAGCTTCATGCTTCCCTGACAGGGCCGCTCCTGTTTCTGGCTGTTTTTGTTCTGCCAGTCTTGCCAATACTTGATATGTTTGCAACCTTTCCATTTTTGGAGGCGGGGGAATTTCGGTGGTGTATATTTATATGTCGTTGATCTCTTCTTCATGGGGATTGAACCCAGTGCCTTTTACTGTGTGATCCAGTATCCCCAGCCCTTTTCTTTATTTTTAATTTTGAGACAGGATCCCACTAAATTGCCCAGCCTGGGCTTCAATTTGTGATCCTCTTGCCTCAGCCTCCCAGGGCTCTGGGATTACAGGCGTGCACTATCATACCTAGCAGATCTCATTTTCATTCCTTTTGTTATTGTTCATATGCATTTTAATCATTTGGATTTCCCCTTTTCTGTGAACTACCTGTTTAAATCCCTTGCCCATTTTTCATTAGGTTTTCACTTTTTCTTTTTTTATTTGTAGGAGTTTGTATTTTCTAATTATGAATCTGTTTTTGATTTTTGATCTTATGATATTTTCTCTAAATAAATGATCTATTATTTATATGCAAATAGTCCTTTGTTTAAAAGAAACTTTAAATTTTGATTTTATCATATCTGAGTATTTTCTCATGTTATGTTACTTGCTTTTAGTATATCTTATTTAAGAAAACCTTCCCATCTCAACATCAGAGATACTCTCTCTACATTTTGTGCCATTTAACTTTATAGTTTAAGTTTTCATTTAAATTTTTAAAAATTATCTAACATCTACTGAACACCTACTGAGTACCAGGCACATTTTTAAGCTTCACATAAATAATGCATTTCATCCTTTCCATGGTTCTATGAAGTCTTAATCGTTTAATTCCAGTTTTATATGTGGTGAAATTGAGGCAGCGATTGAATTTTCTTCTCATATTTTACAACTCAGCCAAAGTTATGATTTCTTTCTATTTTACTAATGAAAAGCAGGAGGAAAGCTACACAGTAATTGTTTAACGAGAGTGTCTTCTACTCTAAAGCCAGTGAGCTAAGAAATCAGAGCAGGATAGCTAAAGTTTACTGTTCCAGGAAGTCAAGAAAGGCTTCCCAGAGAAGTGAGCATGAATTTGGTTATCTGTTCATTCCACAGCCATCTCTGCGGGCTGAGTACCTGAGTAGCTGGCCCACTTCCTGGTACCAGGCCCGTGGTGATAAGCAAACAGGCCCAGGCTATACCCTCAGAGCTCGCGAGAGTTCGCAGGAGAGAGGAGAAAGAATATTTGATAAATCAGTGCCTGTTTTATTCCACAAAGCGTTTCAGTTGGAAGTGGGGACTGGTTCATTGTGAAGTGGTGGGAACCAGCAGCTGAAGATGAATAAAAAGTGAACTTTGGTCCACGATGTGAAAGACCTGGGGGATGAAGAATATATGTTTTAAGGAGGAGTCCTTGTATATTTTTAAGAAAGGGAATAACACGGTAACATTTACATTTTAGAAAACTAAGGCTGGTAAAAGTGTAGAGGATAGATTGGGAGGGGGCTTCCCAGCTAAGATTTGGAGCAGTTTCCACTTTGTCACACAGAGAAAGATGAGAAGTCTTGAAAGGAGACAGAGGCTGCTGGAATGGAATGAACAGTAAGGATCCAAATGGTCGCTGTAGGAGCTCAGTGTCTTTCTACCTGGGTAATGCATGGATACATACAACAGGGCTTCAGGCTTGAGAACATGGGTGGAGGATACATTATTAAAAGTGATAATGTTGCTAAAAGTGGTAAATAGCTGGAGGCTTTAACAGCTGTAATTCTTCTTCTTAAATTGCAGACAGTTATGAAATTCTTGGTGTTCTATGCTGGTGATCTGGCCAATGTCTTTTTTATCATCACAATGGGAACAGGTCTTTATTGGCTTATTTTCTTCAAAGTAAGTGAGTTTCTGAATTTAACTTCAATGCTAATATATAAGTAACTGGTAAGTGTTTTTTATAGTAAAAGGGAACTATTTGTACTTGGGGGCATTTCTGGCCAAGAGTCTTGAGGCTTGCCTGGACGTACAGTTTGTGTGCGCAAGACCTTGAGTTAGATCCCCAGCAGCACAAAAAGCCTTGAAGCAAACCTTAAACCCCCTGTTCCCTGCGTGTGCATTTATTGAGTATATCACTATCTCCCTCTTTTATTCTGTCTTCAGCTTGTAACTTGTGTTTAGGAAAAACCTTGTATGACTTTGTTGACCAAGTAATTTTGTCATAGGCGCAGAAGTCTGTCTCTGTTTTGCTGCCAGTGCCAGCTCAGGAAGAACGCTTCGTGACTTACGTGGGATGTGCTTTTGCTCTGAAAGTAAGTTTCAAAGGCAGGGACTGAACTTCAAAGGCCTGCTGATAAACCTGTAAGTCTTTAAAATTCAAATGCTTTCCAGCAAGACATGGTGACGCATGCCTATAATCCCAGCGCTTGGGAGGCTGAGGCAGGAGGATCACTGTGAGTTTGAGGCCAGCCTGGGCTACATAGTAAGTTCAAGACCAGCCTGAACTACAGAGTGAGACCCTGTCTCAAAAAAAAAAACAAACAGACTTACGTAGAAAGTCTGTTTGTATTTATAATAGTTCATTCAAAACAATTTTCCTAAATAGATTTTTTTTTTTTTTTTTTCAAAAAACCTGTAAATGTGTCTGCATTCTCAGGAGTTGTAGCAAATTTGATAAAGTGATATTTCAGTATATAACTTTCTTTAAGTCTGGTGATGCATTCACAGTGTGACCCTCTTTGTTCGCCAAGGGTTAAAGTACTGAAATCATAGAAGTTATTTTCTCTCTCCCTACTCTGTATTCCTTTCCTCTCCTTCCTAGTCCAACACCTGCCCAGCTTTAGTGTTCACTGTCCCTATACGTGAAGCTTTGTACATACCCCTGGCAGAAATCTTGCCATTGTTCCGTGATGGGCAGGTGTCAGCTGGTCCCGTACACGTAAGAGCTCCTCGGGGAGAGTCTCCCTCCCATACCTAGCTTTTATCCTTCGCTTGGTCGGTGATGCATCTACTGAGAAGGATGCCTCAGTTTCAACACACTGTTCCCGTAAATGAGAAAGATGTGTTTCCACGACCTATTTATTAAAATCTGAAATTTCAGTACCGGAGACAAAAAAAAAAAGATAGTGAGAGCATTCTGAAATTTAATTAAGGTCACAGTTGAAAATGTATTTTTACTTATCAAGGAGCAGATGATCCGTAAGAACTGGAAAGAGCGTCAGTGAGGCAAGGTTCCTACGGGGAAGAGGGAGGGTTTCTCCACTTCTCTCATAGTCCTATTTTAAAGAGAGAAGGGAAAAGGGAAGGCAAATTTATAGGAGTATGGCAGTTTTGTGAATTTGGAGATTCCAGATTATTTGGTGAGCTCCTCCTGCCCCCCAATGGTATTATAGCTTTATGTGAAGTCACTTGTAAAAATTACATTCTCTTATGATTACAGTATGTTTCTTAAAGAATTGATACTGGTTTCATAGGCAAGCTTAACACTGGTACTTTCAGTTGCATTATGTGTTCTCAGGCTCTGCAGTTTTTGCATAAACTCATATCCCAGATGACAATAGATATATTCTTCATTGATTGGGAGCGGCCTAAAGGAAAAGTTCTTAAAGCTGTTGAAGGTAATGGAAATAAACATTTACGCCAGAATTCTTTTGCTACTCTTATAGAGCAAAGGAGATGCAATGCTTGTATTCGTTTTCTGTCCCTGACCAGGTGAGGGTGGTGTGCGGAGTGCCACTGTTCCCGTAAGCATTTGGAGGACATATTTTGTGGCAAATGAATGGAATGAGATTCAGACTGTGAGAAAAATTAATCCACTTTTTCAAGTATTTACTGTTCTCTTCTTTTTGGAGGTATACAGTGCTTGATATAACTCTATGCAACTTGTTGGAGCCTTATCAATGTTTGTATAATTCCAAGCTAGTTTTCATGACAATGGAAGAGTTTTTTACAGGTTTAAACATAGTTATCAAGACATTAATGAGGAGTGACTTATAAAAAAACTGTGGTGACCTCTTCCTTTTCCTCTTTTTCCCATGAAACAAAACAAGAAACTTTTAAAATAAAAAATCATAGTGAAATACTTGAAAAACTTGCTACTTAGCTGTTTTGAAATGTATAATTCATTATTCATTGCGCAGACCCCTCACCACTATCACTAGAATTCTTCATTTTGCAAAGCTGAAACTGCTTGAACGCAGCTCTCCACATGGCTCCTTCCCCCTCGCCCCAGCTCCGGGCAGCCACCCTTCTACTTTTCGTTTCCATGAATTTGACCACTCTAGGTGCAAAAGGAGATTTTTAAACCAGTAGTTTGTATCAGAATCACTGGGGGAACTTTTGTATTGAAAAACAAAACAACCTATGCTCCTCGCCCTTAGAGAGTATGTGATGTAATGACTTTGAGGTGAGCCTAGGTATCTATGTTTTGAAAAATCCCTCTCTCCCCATGATCTGTATGCTCACCCTTACATTAGAACTACTATTTTTATAAGGTAGATTTTTTTTTTCAAAAATTTATTCCCAGACACCCTCTTTGGACTATGCTCTGAGCTAAAAGCAAGGGCTACAGCTGAATGAGACACTGAAGGGTGAATTTGCAGTTATTTCTTGGACGTTGTTTGAACTATCAAAAGACATATTCTGTATTAGGCAGGAGACTGACATGAAAACATGTTTGGGGCAACAGATTTGCTCAGGGATTCTCTACCTCAGTCATCCTTTGTTTTCCCCTTTTCTTTCCATTTTTAAAACTGGTAGAAGAGGGGCTGAGGATTTAGCTCAGCGGCACAGCACCTGCCTGGCAAGCTCAAGGTCATGAGTTTGATTCCCGGTATGGGAAAAAACAAAACAAAACAAAAAAACTGGTAGAGAATGTGTGTGCTATTTACAGTACTTCCAAATTCAGTCTAGGGAGTGCTTTTCTTTAAACTGACAAGTAAATACTGTAACATGTTTATAGTATAAGCATTTTCAATACATATATACATTGTGGAATGGCTAAATCAAGCTACTTAACATATCTATTACCTCATATTTCAAGGATATTTTGTGATAGTGTTAAGAGTTTTTGAGGAGACTTTAAAAAGTATTACATGAAAAAGAAGTTTGCTAGTCAATTAAGTTTATAAAACACTATATTCAATAAAATCATACAGAAACCTTCCTGAAAACTTCTCAAAGCCTTTATTCTACAAGGGTCAGATTCAGTTAAGTGAATGTAACATACAGACCAAACTTATTAACCAGAAGGTATATTCTTCCAAAGATATTTTGGAATGTACTATTTTAAAGTATAAAAAGTATTTAGCATAGTACATGGCACATGTTAAATACTCATGAACTGCTGGTTGGTTGTTAGTTTATTAGTAGTTTACTGAAGAAAGTTTTCTTCTCCTAACAGAAATGCTCACGTTTTGTCAGTGTAAGGGCAAAATAATTGTATTTGGCCTCTAGTCAATTGAGAAAAAAAAAAAATGAATGCCCTAACTAAATATTTTTAAAGGCTGCTTTCTAATTAAAATACTGTAATTATTTTTATCTAGATTTTCTACCATTTGTAAACTTTGATTTTTTTTTTTTAGGTGAGAAGTAGAGGAATATTCCATTTGCAGTGTAGAAGCGTTTTCTTTATCCATGTTTGCTTAAATTAGTTTTCCTTTTTACCTCAGATTGTGGGATTCAAGAACTTAGCGTTAATGGACTCATCCTCTAGTCTTTCTAGAAGCCCGTCTAGCTACGTGCCTCCTCACAGCCGCATACTGAGGTATGCTGTATCTGCCGCTCTTTGGCTAGTCATTGGAGTTGCACAGGTAAGTAGAGATTGTACTTTTAAGTAACACTGCCTCTGTATAACTCTGCGTACATATTGATTACTTCAAATTATTGGCCATATCCTGACTTCACAGCAAAAAAGCGACAAGAACAACAGGAATAATAGCTAATTCCTATATTATAGTATAATCCAGACACCATGTTAATCCGTTAATTACACATATTAACTACTTCATCTTTACCTAATTAGCCCTTGGAGATAGTTCTGTTAGCATCCTCCTTTTAAGGTGAGGAAACTTGAGGCACCGGTAGGTAAATAATTACATGTCGTGCAGCTATAGGAATTGGCAGACCTGGAATTTGAACGCAGGCAGCTTGATGTCAGAGTTCTCATTCTTGTGAGTCGTGGCCTCTGAAGGGTCTGTCAGATGCTACAACTTCGGTAGCGCAGGCACCCCTGAACAGTAACTGCAGTGGCAGCCATGCTACTCTACGCATTTTCTTTTCCTTTGTAGCATAGCTTATTTTTTTACCTGTATTTATATATCGTTAATCTCACTCAGATTGCTAGTAACCCTTGGAGAATTTCCCCTGAAGTATGTACCGAATGACTGATGCTAAAAGTAAATTCTTTCCACTTCAGTGTCTCATGGCTCTGGTACAAGGTCTCTTCTGTGCTTATTTTTCTTTCGTTAAAGTTAAAACAGTGAAAGGAAAAAACTCTAACGTGCACTTCTTTCTCTTGCTTTCAGCTTCTCACATGAACAGAAAGAGTTTTTCTGTTTGATTAAAGCTTCCTTTAACTGTTATACTCACCAAATAAAATGGAGCCCCTAGAAAGAGTAGGTTTAGCTTCTTATTCCCTGCCTAGTATTTACCCAAACAGCCTGTTTCTAAGGACCTTTTAGTATTAAAGTTCTTTTAAGAGCGCTTCTTCTTTTCTTTTTTTCAAACAGTAGCAAAGATTTATTAAAGGTAGGGGAAAAAAAACCGACTGTGCAGAGCGAGGTTGGGCCAAGTGAAAGTAGGAAGAGAAGTACAGTCCGCAGCGTGAGGGCGGCCACATGTGCGAGAGAGCACAGCCGCCGAAAGCTTATTCCAATAGAGTAGATCCAGGTGGCATTTTATAACCCAAGCATGGGCTTTGTAAGCTTAACTTTATTTTTAATTAATGACATTTGTCCACAATTGAAGGTACAAGGATAAAGCTCGTGAGGAAGAGCTGTCACCCAGAATAGGAAGACAAACAGAAATTAGAACTTGAAGTTAGATGGGATTGAGAGGGTGGGGTTTGATGCTTACCAGTGATGTAATAGCAAGGAAATGCTTTGTACGCACACCAGCATGTTCTGTGACTCTATCAGATTCGTCTGATTGAAGAGAATTTAAAGGAACACCATTGGGAGCTTTTCATATTCAGTTGAATATAACAAAAACAAAGCAAAATAGATAGAGGGGCCGAAATAAAGAGAACCTTATCTCTTCCAAGAAAAGGAAGAGCAGAGCTGCGCAGTGCAGGGCTAGAACGATGGTGCAAGGGTGTCATCAGGCCCCAGGAGCCTGCTGTTCAGCTCTGTGGCAGGACACTTCCGTCTGTTATTCCAATGTCTCTGTTCCGTCTATTATTCTGTCTATTATTATTCCATCTATTACTGGAACAGAGACATTCTCTGTCCTGTCTCTAAGAGTCTTTCAGAAGTGCCATCGGATATCTCCTTGACCACAACTTTATCGCATGGTGGGTGCCACTGTCTAACGTCCCCCTTTGCTTCTTCCTTTGCTGTCAGACTGCCAGGAAATCATTTCTCTCTGTGGCAGTGTTCTAAGCCTGTCAGTGTTTATTCCTCGAGTGTCTTGTGAGTTCCTTTGAAGACCTGTTATATTTTCAGAACTGTGCCTAAACTCTTCTAGATTGTAATAATCAGCCAGGCTTTACCGTTCACTCCTTTCATTTCCCTAAAACCAGCATCTTCAACTTTTCAGTGGTATCCTTAAATTTTTAAACTTTGCTGCTGTTTTTCACGTTCTTCAGAGGGGTTTAAAAATATGCATGTGAAGTATTTGGGATAGCCAGGGTTGGTGACGTACACGTGTAGGCCTGGCCCTCGGGAGACCAAGGCAGGAGGATTGCAAGATTGAAGCCGCCCACAGTACGTAGTGAGTTCAAGGTCAGCCTGGTTTACATAGGGAGACCCAGTCTCAAAGGTAATAATAGTGATAATAATTATCATCATCATCATCAACTTGTGTGAATTCCCTTATTCCTATGTGTGAACGCATTTTCTGGAGCTCATGGCTATGCTGTAATAAGAACTCGACAAGTGCTGTGAAGAGGCTCACCAGGGACCTGAGGTCACCAGGTCAATAGAAGTACAGGGAGTAGAGCCTAGGAATTAGGACAGTGTTTAGGAAGTATTAGCTTTCTCTGAAACGTATCTACAACATGAAATTTTTTATTTTTAAAATTATGGTATTTTTATATAATGGAGTATTACTCAGCTATAAAGAAAGATAAACTCGAGGCCTTTATAGGTAAATGGATGCAACTAGAGACCATACTCAGAAGTGAAATAAATCAGACTCACCTGCGTAAACATCATTTTGTCTCCCTAGTGTAAGAACCTGAAAGAGTAAATAAAACCCAAAATGTACAATAGATAGTGCAAAAGGGAAGAAACTACTCAAAAGGAAAGAACTGGGATGAGAGAAAGGGGAAAAGGAAGAAGGAAGGGAAAAAAAAAAAATATATATATATATATACACACAAGATAGCTAAGATAATTGTACTTCTAAGTTCTATTGGTTTATTGAAAGGAGCAGTCAGTGCTTAATTTTTTTTATCACTTTTGCATGCCTATAGCTGGTAATATGAACAGCTACATTGAAGATAACAATATGCAATATAATAACCATTGATTTCCTATCATCTTGTTTTGAAATTCTGTATCATTTTTAATGTTCTTTTTTTATTCTCTTTAAAATTAAAAAAAAATTCCAGCTGGGCCTGGCGGCCTACACATGTAACTCCAGCACTCTGGGAGGCTGAGGCAGGAGGAATGCAAGTTCGAGCCCACCTAGGAAACTTAGCAACTTAGCAAGACCTCATCGCAAAATAAAAGATGACAAAGGGCTGGGAATCATAGCTCAGTGCAAAGTGCTGGGGGAAACATGTTTTTTTCTTTCAAGTATTGTTATTAACACTTGCAACCACTCTGTGTGAACACTTAGTGTATTACCTGTAGTCAAACTAGAAAACTAAATACATAATTTTTATGTGCTATTTTGTCAGATTATTGGAACAGCAGAAAGTTTTCTGAAGTCTTTGGGTATTTAGAAGATGAGCAACCTTCCAAAATAAGACATAAATCTGGCCATTAATGCATTAGTTTATCCTACATTTTAAAAAGACCTTTGCTTCTTCCCACATAGTTGTCTTACCTTGTTTTAATAATACAGATAAATATTTAAAATTCAAAATGGAGAACCAGGCATGGTGGTGCATGCCTGCAATCCCAGCACTTAGGAGGCTGACGGGGGAGGATCACCATGAGTGTGAGGCGAGCCTGGGCTATACAGCAACATCTGTCTCAAAAAGCAAAACAAACAGAAATTCAAAATTGACTGGGCATTGTGGCACACAACGGTCAGCCCAGCACTCAGGATGCTGAGGCAGAAGGATTGAGAATTTGAAGCTGCATAACAAGACCCTGTCTCAAAAAAAATAAAAGATCAGAATGGGCTCTAAGTGACTTAGCACAGTTCCAAAGTCCTCCTTCCTCTGCTGGTAGAGTCAGAAGCGACAAGTAGATTTTATCCCATCGGAACCGTTAGAGGCCACTGTGTTCTTGGCTAAACTTCTCTTTTTCTTAAATACTACAGTGTGACTATAAAAGAAGATTGAAATCCTAAAAGCATGAATTTGCCTTAATGTTTCAGATCATGTTCTTTGCTGGCTTTTATGAGAGATTCATAGAGGATAAAATTCGACAGTTTGTTGATTTATGTTCAGTGAGTAACGTAAGTACTTCCTGCCTTTGTCTTGCAACTGTTACTTTTCCCTTTTAAAGGTCATTAATATATTGAGAGAGCCTTTAAAAGGGATTCGGTGTGATTGGGTTTTTTAGTCTAGTTCTTACTGGCTGTGAATTCCAGAAACACTTATATGAGCTGGAAGTTAATACCCACCACCTGTTTTGCTTTATTTGCAGTATTTCTTTATAAATTGCTTATGCTGCCAAATAGTTCATTCATCCTATAGTCCTTGAAAAATTTTTTATATATCAAAAATTTCTTCCTTTCTTGGAAAATACTTTTAACATCCTGCCCATTTACTTTTAAAAATTATCCTTGGGCTGGGGAGATAGCTCAGCAGCACAAGCGCCTGCCTGGCAAACGCAAGGTCCTGAGTTCAATTCCTGGTACCAAAAAAAAAAAATCCTTCATTACATTATTCTCCTTTTATATATTTCCAAGAGTTCAATCCTCATTATTTTGGGAGAAAGGAAAGAATTTTAAGAAAAACTTGTTATTTTGTAGATGAATTGCTGTTTTCTTTTTCTTTTCTTTTTTCATAGATATCAGTGTTTTTGTTATCCCACAAATGTTTTGGATATTACATTCATGGCAGATCAATACATGGGCATGCCGATACTAATATGGAAGAAATGAATATGAATCTTAAAAGAGAAGCGGTATGAATGAATTTTATCTTTTTGTTTTTAAGTTGGGAGGTGACTTTTCTTATTCTAGGATTTATGATACTTTTTAAAATAACCCTAATGAGTCATTTTAGAAAGTTGCTAAGATACCAACTGATTACCTTGAACATAGGTATAGAGAATCTATATTATCCTGCAGTTCCTATATGAACTATATTTCAGAGTAAACAAATGACACAGGAGGGAAAGTTCTTCCTTAAGAATAAAGTAGAAGAAATTGTAAGTTAGAAAAAGGAGATCAGAATTACCTAGAAAAGAATATTTTAGATTGAGGAATGATATTAAAAGCATAAAAAATAGAAAGCACCAAAAGAATATTAATTGATATTACTTTATTAATATAGTATATATCTATATCAAACAATAATAAATAAAAGAGGGCAAATGCTCATAACAAATATGATAGGTCTATTGATGACAAAATTGAAAATTATACAAGGTGGTAAGAAAACACTAAATTTAAACACCAGGAAAATGACAAAAGGCTTAAAAAACAATAAAACAGAAGAAACTAATAAACCTCTAAAAAATTGTAACTCATAATCAAAAAACTAAATCTATAACTCCTCTTAAAACTAGCAAACTTTTTTTTTAAAAAGGTAATATTTAACAGTATCAAAGACAGTGAAATTGGCACCCACAGATGTCAGGGTAAATTTTTAAAAACCTTCTGGAAAGCCTTTGAACAGTGTATACCAAGAGCTTTTTAAGAGTTTATAATCTTTGATTAGTTTTATGAATTTAACTCAAGGGAAAGTTAGCAATAGGAACAGCTTATTAGATTCAAGATCTTTATCACAGAGGTCATTGGTAAGCGAAAAAAACATAAAAATTGGAGACTGTGAATTAAATTCATTTGCTTGTATAGTGAAATCTTAAGTAGATGTTAAAATCATGTTTTACAGAATACGTAATGACTTAGAGAATTGCTCAAGATATGAAGAATGAGTGTGATCCCAATTTTATGCTGTACTTATAGGTCAGGTGGTGGGGCAGGTCAAAGTGTTAGATGTTTATGGTTGTCGATATTAACTCTTTGAGGAGACCTGGGCTGGGTATCTGGTCAGTACAATTCACTGTTCAGTCATGCATCACTACTTTCTGATTGAAAGTATCTTAAGTGTTTAGAAAACAAGAAACCATTTACAATTACAAAAGCATTCTAAGAGTAGACTTTCTGGCATTCATTAAAGAGCAATCATGTTAATCATAAAGAAAGGTAACAATTTCAGTATACAGTGAACTTTGTATGTGTGCGTGGTACTGGGGATAGAACCCAGGGTCTTCACGTAAACTACATCTCCAGCCATTTTTTAAATTTTTTGTTTTGACAAGGGCTCACTGAGGCCCAGGTGGGCTTGAAACTATGATTCTCCTCCTCAGTCTCCCACAGCACTAGGATTACAGGCATGCACCACCATGCTTGACTCTTAGTATTTTTTATTTTTTCAAAGTAGAGCAAAGTAAAGGAGATGATATGAAGACCACGGGGGAAATGTGAACCAGAATAAAATAGAAATTAGTAAAATCTGGAGAGGAATGGGACCTTGATATCATGTTGTAATCTTTGTCTCAAATACAGTTCAATAAATTTCACTTGGCTTCTGAATCTTGTGATACCATCTAAAAGAAAAATGTGTTTTGCTTTTGAGACAGGCATTTTTTTGTAACCTCGATCTTGATTTAAATCCTTTAACTTCAGGAAAATTTGTGTAGCCAAAGAGGTTTGGTACCCAACACAGACGGCCAGACTTTTCAAATCGCAGTTTCCAGCCAAATGAGACAGCACTATGACAGGATTCACGAGACACTAACAAGGGTTTGTATGAAGCGCAATTCAGGTGTATTTTGCCCGTATTTAACGTTACTTAAATATCAAGAACATAAGGTGTGTTGTGTTTGTTCACTTCTCTTTTTTCTATTAGAAAAATGGCCCTGCTAGACTACTGAGTTCATCAGCAAGTACCTTTGAGCAGAGTATAAAAGCGTATCATGCGATGAATAAATTTCTTGGCTCTTTCATCGATCACGTACGTATAACGACATTTACATCTAAGCCAGGGCCAAATGCAGGCTTGAAAAAGTAAGGTGGAAGTGTCGGTTTTATAGTTAGTCAACCAAGTCAGTGAACTGCTCCCACTCCCTTTTCGTCTGTCAAATTTAATACTTAGAAATCATAGATTCTGAAAGGTACTTATAGACATCAACAAGTGTGGTTTAGGGGTCAAGGAAGGTTCTTTTATGTGTCTATTAGCAAATGATGATTCCTTTGAAATGTGTCTGCTAGAATTTTGTTAGCAAAATATGACTGTGTGGCTCATTATTGAAATTCTTATGCTATGCTTATATTCCTGAAAAGCATACATCAGTTTTCAGTATATCTAGCCCTAAAACCTACTGACATTTAAAATTTAAAGTAATCATAAGGAAAATTTTGTTATAAATCCTAGTGTGGTAAATTTATTTTGCAGAGCAGATTTTCTTTGTGTTCGATTTATTTTTCATTTCCCCTTCTGATTTTTGCATTATTTCGAAAGAGTTTATTTTGCTTTCATTTTTTATATGACTGTCTTCTTATATTAGGTTCATAAGGAAATGGATTACTTCATAAAAGATAAGTTGCTTCTTGAAAGAATTCTTGGGATGGAATTCATGGAACCAATGGAAAAAAGCATCTTCTATAATGGTATCTTTCAAATCCCTTTGCTGAACTTTATTACAATTTTCAAAGTTTCAGGGGAAACTACTTACAAGTTATTTTTCCTTTTTTAATAATTTTATATAAAACAAAGGAAGCATAGTGAACTCAGTCTCAGAACTGTAGTAGTTGTGTTTTATTTTAGTAGGTTGGTAGAAAAAACAAAATATATAAATGACTCTAGAAGAAAGTAAAAAGCTGAATTTCAGAATCCTCAGCACACATTGAAGAGATAATAAGACCAATTTTTATTGGAATGTTAATCTGTTGGCAAACTAAGGAAACGTTAGGATAACGGGATTAATCCTTGACATCTGATTTTTTATTTTGTCCCACTTCTTCAAAGTCACCGATATTTTGACAGAAACAGTGACTAAGCCAGGTTGTTTCACCAGTAAAAAGATAGCACATGTGTCATTGGTAGTGTGACTGGTAACCTGTTGCATCGGCTGGTAAGAAGGTAAAAGGTATAACGGATGTCCTGGCTCCGACGGCATTTATCCACGCATGTTGCACCAGGCCTGGGAGACATGAACCAAGGTCCTCCTCTTGGTATCAAGTTAGGTAGACTATGAAGGAGCAGTACATGGAGTGTGCTGGGGTAGAAGTCTGTGTGAGCACAAGTAATGCCAGGGACAGAAGGACAATTAAAACCTGCCAGCAAAGGTAACATGCAGAAATTGGAAGAGGATCTTAAAAAATAAGTACTTATCTGCCAAACAAGAGGGTTAAGGGAAGAAAGGAAAGAGGCAAAGACCTTTGTGCAGAAGGTGAACAGAGATTCAAAAATCTGTGCAGCGTGCATTGTGTTTACACAGGGTTCGTGTATTTGGCGTGAGGTGGACGGTGGGAGAGTGCTGGGAAGGGGAAGGCCCTGACGGTGCCGCACAGGCCTTGTCTGACACCTGGCCCAGTTCAGTTTGCCTTGTCCTGTAGACCCGGCATTTCCAAAATTTCCAGCATCTTATTTTTTTAAAAATTTTTCCCCACCAGATATGTATAGGTTGATTGATGGAGGTGTGAGAAGAAAATACTAAAATGACCATTTTTATATCTGTAATTCTATCACTCTCAATTTATTATATTTTTAAAAATGCTTAATATGCAGAATAATGACTAATAAAGTGTATCTACTATGGGAGTGTATCTCAGCATTTTGTTCTGATAGAGATACATGGTCAACACAGTTTGAAAAATCTGATGCTGGCAAAACAAAAACGAACAAAATTTGAAAGCCATGAACATGCATGGCATTGAGTTCTGCTAAGCAGGTCTGATTTATAAATTGGGTCAGTTACTGTGGCAGCGTGGTTCAGGTTGAGTTAAAGAGATGAACTTCATCATTAAAAGTAAAGCATCCAGAATCTTCTGGTCTTGTATTAAAAATCTCACTACCATTTACTAGTTTTGTGAACTCAAGGAAATGGCTTAACTTTTCTGAATTCTAATACCTTTTTCATAAAGTTAAGTATAACCATCTAAAAGTTTTCTAGCATTACCACGTAGAAACTAGATGGCGAACCTTTCAGAGATGAGCGCTCAAACCACAACCTAAAACTCACTTATTTACCTCAGAGTACTGACGCTGCAATTAAACCTGAATACTGAGGTTTTAGTTTAGAAAAATCAGCTCATACATTAACATCTTTTGTTGTTGTTGTCTTGTCTTTTTACTTTAACATCTTTTATCTTAAAAGAAAAACAAATAACATGCATGCCATAGGTTCGCCACCCGGACTAGCCATTACATGATGGTAGACAGCCAGGGTTGTTGTTTTGCTTTCTAATAGCAGTCATCTTCATTGTACCTTCTTCTCTGTTTCTTTTTTCTGTTCCTTTTGCTTTGCTCTTCCTTCTCGTATCTTCCTTCCCCCTCCTAGCTTGTCTGTTCTCATTTGCATCAGGAGATGATGAGAGTATGAGCTAGGGGAGTAGGGATGTGCACAGAGAAGAAAGCACTGCCAAAGAGGTTAAGGGAACAAAGAGGTAGGAGAGAAGGATTAGACAACCGGGCACGGCCTGTGATGCAGGCTACTTGGAAACACAGGTTTGGGCAACATTAGTGACACCCCTATCTCAGACAAAAAGGAGCACACAAAAATTACTCAGTTTTTTTCTGTGACGAAGCGGTTATAGTGGTGCCTTTCTCTAAATCAAGGAGTGCAGAGGGAGGAAGAGGTTTTGATGGAAAGAGGGTGAGTTAAGTTTGACTGTGCTGTATCTTGAGGTACTTTGGGGACTTTTACGAAGTGATATGTAGTAAGGCTTTAACTATAAGGGGCCAGATGCGGGGAGAAAGTAAAAGCACACAAAAGCTAGGCGGTTGCCGTCACATGGAGTCGTTGATGGAGCAGTGTTGAAGATCACCCAGGGAGAGCATGTCAAACAGGTTTATTTTCCTTACATATACACATTTAATATACCCGGAGAGGTACATATTTTGTAAGGATATAGCTGACGGGGCAGTGAACTTCACAAAATGAGTATGTCTCCGTACCTAGCACCCTGCTTAGAGAACATTACCTCAACCCAGACATCCCCTCGGATAAAACAGGATCCTCATGAGTCTCCGTGGTGGCGTCAGTGGTTCTCTGGACCTACCAGAAATGTTGTGTAGGATTTATACAGGTGGACTTGCCCTCAGCCACCCCAGGGAAAGTGTTCAACAGGTCTTTTTTACAGGTGGTTCACCTCCCAGAAAGCATACAACCCACTTGCTGAGTGAGACAGACATTAGGAGACTTGGAGCAAAACATTAGGGAGGCTATTTGAGGCAGGAATTCTAGAACAATCTGTGCTATTCTATGCCTGGCTGTGTTTTGATTTATAATTATTCTTCCTAAAAAATCTTTTAAAGATTAATTTAGCCTTTAGTTATATAAAGAAATAGAGAAAAGGTATTCATTAACTAGTCTTAGGCATATATTTATGCTATTAGTAATTACTGATCTTTAGTTCTAACATTAAAACGGTGTCTTAGGAGTTTTTATAAGTTCTTTGACTAACCTATTGGGATTATTAAATCTTAGTAGCTTTTGTTTCTTTTTTGTACAAATCATAACATAGTGTATGTAGTAATAGTTTCTAATATGCTATTTTTAAATACCCGAATTTTATTACCAGAAATTTATCACAGCTTTGTTCCATTTTAAAATTTCTAACATGTCTAAAATGTTTTTCATAGATGAAAGTTACTCTTTCAGCAGCGTGCTGTACTATGGAAATGAGGCCACTCTTCTTATTTTCGACCTGTTGTTCTTCTCTGTCGTGGATTTGGCTTGCCAGAACTTCGTGTTAGCAGCCTTCCTCACGTACCTGCAACAAGAGGTAAATTTAAATTTTTCCTGCTTCTTTTATAAGAGATATATTGGAAGTAGATATTTATTTTCATAGCCGAGAGTAATAGGTACTTACAGTAAGTATTGGTAAATGTTTAGAACATGATTAACTCTACCAAAAAAAAGGAGTAACAGCAACTGGCCACATTCTGCCCTCTGTCCTTGGGGTCAGTGGGACATACACTGCAGTCTAGCTGAGGGCAGAAATTGCTTGAGCAAACATGAAAGAAATCTGTCCGGGTGTGGTGGTGCATAGCTGTAATCCCAGCACTCGGGAGGCGGAGGCAGGAGGATCGTTGCAAGTTCCAGACCAGCCTGGGCTACATAGTAAGCTCAAGGCCAGCCTGAACTCCATAGGAAGACCCTGTCTCAAAAAGAAAAAAAAAAAGAAATCTGGTAGGAGGATACTTAACTGCCTGTCTCCTAATACCAAAAAGAAACAATAATTTAAGAGTCATTCTTAACGAAAAAACAATCCCTGGAGCTGTAACTCAGGGCTCAGCCCTGGAAGTCCTTTTAGCTTGTAACTCTCCCACATCCTTTCTCATACGGATAATAAAAAACTGAATGAAATCTCTGAAATGGAGATTTCAAGAAATGGCAAGTCTGTGCTTCTTGAAACGTTGTTATTAATAGTCATCCATATATTCTCCACAGTGCCAAGGAAGTACACAGGTCATTCAGATGTAATTTCTTAGGCCTTGTTAAAGGCTGACAATTGTGAACAAATTCTGTCTCTACCAAGTAGATTCTTGTGATATTTCCTTAGCTTTTAGAGTTAGAAAAGAGTTGCCTTTTCTAATATTTAAGTGTATTCCTGTGAACATGAGAGGTTTCTAAAATCATGTTGTAAATAGAAAGATTGCTTTGATATTATGAAAGGTGAAATTAGTCTTGAAATAATTTTGTGTATCACTATACAATTTAGATGTCTCATACATAAAAATAGTTGAAAGAATTAGCTAATTTAACTTAGATATTAATTGATGTACATACATATTTAATTTTCTTTGTATTTCATTTCATTCTCAGTAGTTTTAATTTTTCAGATTTTTAGATTTATCCGTAATGCAGTCGGACAAAAGAATTTGGCAAGCAAAACACTGGTGGATCAAAGATTTCTGATTTAATTTACTGATTAGATAACTAAAGGATTTCAGACAGTCAAGGCAAAAAGGTCATGCTACAGGTTTGCCATATTTTTAAAAACTTGTAATGCACATTACTCTGTTTTTGTTTTTGCTTTTTACCAACAGAAATATTTATTTTTATAACTTGTGAAAATATTTAATATAGTAGAAAATGTTGTCTTCCCATTGTATATCGTTCTTAATTTACTGATAAACACTGATGACCTAGAAAAATATCTAAATATTCCTTTCAACATAACATTTTTTAATGATAATCAAAATAGTTGCCATCTATGGATCATTTCATAAACTGTCATTTGCCTACATTTTTTCACATTAATTTCAAACTTATGCCAAGTTTAAGACTAGTTTTCAGTTCAGCATTTGTTTTTACATTTATGATTAAATAAATTTTAAGTACTTTCATGTTTCCTTAGAAATTATGACTTGTATTACTGCTGACTCGCTTTGCCTTTCCGTAATTGCTGACCGTGTTTGACAGTAGACGTCTTCTGAAGTGGTACAGATGTATTCCCTCACACACCTGTATTACTGCGTCACTGCCCTCCTTCAAGGGGGTGACATTTCTAACGTGGTTTACACTTACTGTGTTACAATGTGTGACATTTCTCCCACTATAGTTTTTATACATTGTAATTACTTAATATTTTTTGTTTTTCAACTCTTTTTTGTTCTATTATGTTTAAAGATTGCAAATAACAGGGTGTAAAAATATATCATGTTCTATTTGAAGCAAAGTGAGCCTTCATAAATCAGTAGGGTTTTCTTTTTTATAGTATATGTTTGCAATACATAAGAATTTCATTCATTGTGGGGAATTAGTACATATATACCTCAAATCTTGATCAGTTTTGATTGATCGCTTTTTTCCTCAACCTTCCTCACTTGCCCCTGCTTCTGATCCACTTCCTGTCTCCAAAAAGCCTGCTTCCTTGTTTTCTACCATTTCTTTTATTTTATTCTTTAATCTGTTTATACTTTGGATTTTCTTTATAAGAGAAACCATCCAATATTAACTTTTTGTGTGTGACTTCTTTCACTTAACATTGTGATCTTAAGCTCCATCCATTCACATGATTTCATTCTTTTTATGGCTGCATAATATTCCATTGTGTATATATACCACATTTTCTTTATGCATTTGTCTGTTGATGAGATCTATTTAAAATAAGGGAAAAAAATTGGATTGAAAATATTAAAGTGAATTTAGAACCATATAGCTAATAATTTTCCACATTGTTTTCCTCAACATATTCTTTAATAATTCTTTTCCATGGTATATCATGTCCTTGAAAGACCCGCATATTTAAAATACAATTCTTAACTCCCAAGTCAATACTTCTTATTGCTTTTTATATTGATGATATGTAAATAAATAAATGCAATGCTATGTAAATATTGTTCTTATTTCTAAACTGAAAATATATAATAAAAATTTGATGGTTCTGTTTCTTGTTTGGCGAATGTGTATCTCATGAACTAACATTCAAGAATGTAGCGCGATTGGGGTTGGGTTCTCAGCCTTTGTCAACCGCGCGTCTTTCACTTTTTGCTGAACCTGGAGGTCAACTGAGAGAGGGGGAGGCTAATAAGTTGAGTCTTTGAAACTCCAATTTCTCAAGAGTCCCAATATAACAGTGTCTTATAAAATCTGTAGCAAAACACAGATGTACTGACATAGATGTAAAATCCACCCACTCAGAAGCATGTGGAAGAAGTGCAGCTTTTGTTCCACATGAAAAGTTACTACTGTTGGTAAATTTCAAAAGAGAGGATGAGCTGGCTCAGCAATCAGTTAAAACAGAGAAAACACTTTAAAATCATTCTAATTTTATGCAGTATTACTTTTTATTTTGGTTAGATACACAACAGCGTGTTCTGATTTTCAAACACTGACTCATCGGTTCACACTGCCGAATTTAAACCCTGTAATCATTGTACACAGTGTTCCACTGGGCCCAGCACTTCTGTTTCTGAAACACCTATCCTTAAGTTTACTGGTAACCTAGAAACATGTGCTGTATTTCATCATCATTTCATAATGAGACAAATCCTCCAGAGATTCTTTTAGGTTGCCTTGTATTTGGTGCCCTTAGGAACTCACAGACCCGCCCCTCACATATTCCTGCAGACAAGCCCGTCTGCTTTGAGAGATTTATACGCTCGCTTGGCTGGCACTGCTGTCCTGACTGTTTTTGGAGAAGGCCAGACTGGGTCCTGTGGGGCGTCCACAGGGCTTGTCCCCAGGGCTTGCAAGCGTAAGGCATGTCTTTTCTCTTTCAGTGCCGAGGAGTGAACCCTCACGCATGCCAGGCGAGTGCTGTGCGATTGAACTACATCGACAGCCCAGCATGTGTCCTTTTTGTTTGGAAATATTGGCCAATATAAGCGGACAGGAATTAAATGCACACGCAAGAGCGGTGAACTTCACGGAAAATTCTGCAGATTTAGGAAAAGAAGCCCAGGATCCAGATTAGAGTTTTGCTCCCGTTGGGAGCTGTGGGATGGTAAACTAAGTGATTTGGCGTCGTAGAACTTCGTTCTGTATCTCCGCAATGGAAGTAGTACCCTCTGATCACCACTTGGGGTGTGGTGAGGACTAGGGTAGTCCAGTATGCTTGTAATAGGAGGCTGGAGGGTGTAGCTCAGTGGTAGAGTGGTTGTCCAGCATGTTTGAGGCTCTGGGTTGAATTTGTAGCATCACAAAACATTAAAAAATTAAAAATTAAAAAAAGTGCTTGCAACAGTTACAAACTGTGAGCATTGAAATTCTTTAAAATGTGACCTTAAAATATTGACCTCAAAATAAATTTCCTACCATGTTAATAAATGCCATGGCATGAAAACTCAGAAAACTGATCTCAATAACCAGAGGAATTCTGAGCCTTCTCTTCCTTACCAACAAGGCTATGGTAGAGGTCACAGCCACAGGTGGAGGGTGGCGAAGTGACATAGTCATGACACAGACCACCACAGGGACAGGGGACTGACAAACTCCCAGGCCCTTACGCTGTTACTCATCAAAAGCACGACTTGTGTTTTCTTCTGAGGCAGGCAGGCACTGAAGAGTGGTTTTTACTAAAAGCTGTGATTCCTTACTTGTGCCTGCAAATCCCCAGTAGTAACCAAAAATAGAACAAAACTTGGTCTTAATTTTGTGAAACTCTGGGTCAAATCCTTAGCTCTGTGCATAAGCATTCTAGTCATTTAGGGAATATCAAAAGTTGGCAAAACAAGGTGGATTGGCCCTGCGTTTACCTGGCCTGGCTCAGTAGCCTTTAAGAGTGAGGACACTGGGCTAAGAGAGTTCCAGGACATTCAGCTACGCCCACTCCATTTCCCCAGTCCGCTGGTGTCTGTGGATACCGCCGAGCTTCACATGATTGAGATTTCCCTTCAAGCCATAAGGACTCCTCCCACGGAAACCAGATTGCCCTTCCAGCCACAACGATTCAAACTGAACTCGAAAATGGCTTGAAATATGATCAATCAAATCCCGGCCCCTCTCAGGTAATCCTTGAAAGCTGGCCTCCGGCTGTTGTAGGTGGGCCAGTCTGATCCTCTTTATCAGAGTGTGCCTCCTCCACTTACCACCCAAGCTACAGACTTTCCTTCCCTTTCACTGAATGCTTTTTCCTGAACTCCTTGCTTGAGTTTTCATTTCCATTGTTATGAAAGCAAGGACCCACACCAGCAGGCGAGGAAGGAGTTACCACCCCATGTTGCGGGGGAGAGGGTTTCTTTCATTTGCTCATCCATTCATTCCTTCAAACAATGTCTCTACCTCTTCCTGCTTCCAACCCCTAGGAGGGGTCTTTATGACTAGTAGAGGAAACAGGAATATTAACCAGAAATTTCGGTGAAGTGCTAAGGGTGCAATATGAGGAACACGCTTAACTGCAGCGGGGTCATCAGGGCTTCAACCACAGAGAAATGCTATTTGATATAAAATGTAAAGATAAGAGACAAATGCATCCGAAGAAAGGAACACTGTATGCTCAGAGACCAGGAGGCATGTGGCAGTTTAGGGCACTATAAGTAGTCTGAATACAGAGTATTCATATGGTTTGATTTTTAAATTTCTGTTATTACACTGTTTTGACATCTTAGATCTTTCTAGCTGAGGTGAGACTGCCCCTCCTGGGGTTAGCAGTTCTTTGAAATAGCGAGGGCGCAGGTGGAAGCATGACTTCCTTAGCAGAAATTAATCCTTGCTGAGCCGTAGCCCAGGAGGCAGTATTCCTCTGCCTTAATCATCCCAGTGCCAGGAAACAAGCAACTAGGGATCTCCCCTGTATCTTAAAGCCCCTGAATTTATTCACACCAGCCAGTCCTGAATGCCTTACCCTGCCTTCCTTGCCTTTTCCTGGGAAGCTCCATTAAAAACCTAGGCTCGCCCAGCTCCTGTCCTCACATCCCTGTACCACCGTGCACTATTACCTCCTGTTTCCACAGCTCGTGAGTATAATAAGCTTCGGTTTTCTTGCGTCTGCCCTTATGGCTGCACCTGACTATCACATAAAAGAACACAGAACAGGACCTTTGGGAGTTTTGGAGAGAGATGTAGTTGGAAAACCTGAGCCGCACCATTGACGGGTTTAACATCAAGCCGCACTACCAGTGCGGAGAGTTTCACCAGGCTACATTTGCTGCCCTACCTTCAAATGAACACAGTCATCACTCTGCGTCTGCAGGTCCCACATCCAAGGAGTCAGCCCACGGCAGATGGGAAATATTTGAAAAAACATTGTCTCTATTGACCACATACAGACTTTCTTTCCTTATTCTTATTCCCTAAACCAATATAGTAGAACAAGGATTTACGCAGCACATACTTTGTATTTGGCATTATATGTCGAGATGCTTTAAAGTATACAGGAAGATGTACAACAGTTATGTACAAGTCCTATGCCATTTGAATAAAAAATTGGCACATTCGGGGATTTTGTTATCCCTATGGGTCCTGGAGCCAATTCCACACAAATAGCAAGTGAGGAAGTGAACAGAAGGACAAGAGCGAATCTTCTCTAGCCCATTGCCCTGGGATAACGGGTGGCCCCTGGCAGGAGACTGGTGCTCCCCATCCCTGTTGTTTAGCTGTTTTGTGGTTGCAGAGAAACAGATTGCCCAGAAGTAAGGCACCAGGGTTAGGGGTTAAGAATACAGACTCTGGAGCTGGACTTGCCTGTGTTCGAATCCCAGCTGCACCACTTATGAGCTGGGAGGTCTGGGCACATCATTATTAAATGTCCTTGTCTATGAAAGGGATTAATAGTACCTACTTCATAGAATGCTTGTTATTACATAACTCCCAAAAGGATGCAGATTAAGCCCACTGGAGGCTATAAGACACTGTCATATCACTGAGTGTGCTAGAAGGAGTAGTACACAAACTGCCTGTCACAAGGGAATCTGTGGGTTTTAAAAAGAACTTTGCTGGGGGCAATGGTGCACATCTACAACCCCAGCTACTCGGGAGGCTAGCGTAGGGGAATAGTAGGTTCAAGGCCAGCCTGGGTAGCTTAGTCAGATCTGGTCTCAAATTTTTAAAAAACCATTCAGGATATAGTTCAGTTCTATAGAGCCAAGTACCAGGCCTTGAGTTCAATGCCTGGTACAGAAAATTTAAATAACCTTGCTTCTATTAGAGTCAGCACAAATATTTTTGCATTTGTCATTGTTATTACAAAGAAATACAAGGCTGTGGCCCAAGATGAATAAATGACCAGTAGAATGGATTTACAGACAGAGCCACGGGTGTGTAGTTACTTAGGATAAGGGCAGCATGCAGTGCCGTGAGGAGGGGTGTTTTGGGTGATCAAGGAA